TCAGTATATTTTTCGCAGTGTTATTAGTTCTATACAAATATAATCTATATCAATAATGCATGTGTTAAATAAAAAATATATTAAAAAAATGAATTTGTTAATCACCATTGTTTACAAACACAAAATCAAAAAAAAAAAAAAAAAAAAATGATGGGTGATGTGTGTCTATCAGATTTCATAAAAAGAGGGGTTAAAGTCTGCAAAAAAAGCTTGGGGTTAAGTTTCTGAGGAGTAAAATGCCTGTAAACACTGCAACGGGAAACAAATGACGGGAAATAACACTTCGTGTAAAGAACCAGCATGCGCCTTATCGTATCAAAATATGACGTCGACAAATTATGCGAACTTGCTTACTGCCTGATTAAAGCTTTCATGCCGTGTTGTCATATTGTGTTGTTTTCTTTTTGTGATAATTATTAAATAGGAGTATCACTGAGTAAATTGTAATAGCCAGCAGGGATTTTGTAACTTTAACCTTATTATATGACATTTCATTGTACATTATACAGCTAAATTGAGAGCGGAGCAACTTACATATATGATATTCTTATCATATTATAAACTTTTTAAATTACTAATTTAGGGGAGAAGATGTATAGGTAGTCGGATAGCTCAGTCGATATAGCTGCAGTTTGGTATTCTGAAGTTCATTGGTTCGAGTCCCGTCAGGCTGCACGTTTTTCTCACCCTGTAACATTTGGTGCCCAACAGTTGACCGTGACTGAATAGAGCTGTGAGTTTAATTCACATGGCCCTGTAACTCTGTGAAATTTGAGGGAGAATTTCAAATTCAAAATAGCGTGTGGGAATGTCATGGTTAAGAACTGTTTACCATTTAGGGGAGATGTGAAGCTCAGTCGGTAGAACCATGGTTCGGTATTAAGATGGTCCTGTGTTCGAATCTCGGTCAGGCTGCCAATTTTTTACTTTGTGACATATATTTAATAACAGAACAAGAAATAATAATGTTTGTGTTTTTGTTTTGTTGCTCTCTAACATATTTTGTTTTCATATTTTATTTCTTTTGTTTTTTTTGTTGATATTATTTTATAAAAAAATGTCATGCCCTTCAACTGCGACAACACAAAATAATGAGGAAAAAAACAGAAAGTCACTAATCGGTGTTATGCACAGGCGAAAGGTTATCAAAATGCCGAATTTAAGGTGGCTAGGTCACCAAATATTTTGTTTTATTGAATGAAACATATTTTTTATCAAAACGAAATAACAAAATGGCAGAAATCAGACACCATACTTTTGTACAGATAAGTTATTTATCAGTTTTAAGCTGTTCATTAGTATTTTTATTGTCTTTTCGGTTTCAAATAAGTTTTTTTTATATCAGGCGAAAGTGTTTTATCTTACTACTTTATTCAAAACTGGGTGGTTTTAATAAATTAATTTGTCCTATGTGTCGCAAACAAGATCTAAAGTAATATAAATAAATCAGAGTCAAAGTATTTTAGAGATAATCAAATAACCGCCACCCATAAGCGCAGCAAACTAAAGCAATCAAAATAAACAGGAACTAGTTATTGAAACCGGAATAACTTCTTATGACTAAAATGCCCAGAAGGTTAAACATCCAACTGTAGACACAATTTCTTCAATCAAAAAAGGAATTCATAACAAAATTTCAATAATTCAGAGAAGATAAAACCCTCAAGAAGAAATGACCCAAACGATTTGAACCCTCTGCAGTCAAATGTAACCCTCCATCTAGATTGGAAAAAAGGAATCTTTTGATTTGTCACTGAAACAAAAAAAAAAAAAAAAAACAGGTCGAAAGGATTTCACAAATTTCGCATTCAAATATTTTTCATAACGACTATTGATTTCTTTGATAATAGATTCTTTTTCATCCTTTCCACCGGATAGGAATGTCCGGTTTTAAGCGACAAAGATAAAATATAATCACAAGAATTGCCATTGGCAATTTAATTGGTACCAAGATGATGATGACGTAGTACATTTGTAATTAAATCAAGAGGGCAACTGTCTATTCTCTAGTAGAAAATTTATTTTACCAATTGTAGAACCTTTGACGGCTCAAACTTCAACTCCCTCTATCGGTGGTATATAATTCCCCACAATGACAACCTTCCTGAACTCCGAAATTAATTAAGCATTCAAAGATATAATAGTTTCACTGTACAAGAAACATACAACATACTAAAACTTCATACATATAAAGCAATCAAATTACCCAAATGATTATGAATAAGAAAATTCTGCCAACTCATTTAATTGTCAGATAGCAACAGGAAATCTATAAACAAAATCAAGATTATGGTAAAATTCCTGTATATGAATGGTGTAATCATCATTAATAAAAATGAAGCCACATAAGAAATTAAAATCATAACATACTTCAACGGTTTCTATTCAAGTGGTGAATTTTTTACATACACCACAAATAACGCCGTTCTTTAACAGTTGTTATGCAAAAAGTGTAATTTCTGTAAGTGAAAACTCTGCCAACTTGAGTAATCATCATGTTGTAACAAAGACTCCATAATAAAAATGAAGCCATATCAGAAATTTAAATCATAACAAAATAAACAGTGTATTTTATCAGTTACTTGAATGTCATAACAAATTATATTACTCATAATTGAATACTTTAAATATATTCAAGTGAGAACCTGCCATCTTGTGAAATCTCATCAGAATATCTAATCATTATCTAATTTATTTCTAATGAATTTTGGTACTTTTAATTTTTCTTGAAAAGAATACTCTATATGTATATTCTTTTTATAAGCATCTGACTTCCAGACATCCATTAATTGAATAAGATCAGCCGGTAAATTAAGCCTAAAGGCATAAGAAGCTAAGAAGCAAAACCTCATTTGAAAGAAATGGGTAAAAAATGCATCATAGTCGACACCAATGTTGTCAATACATTTTTTCAATTTTCTAATGAAAAAATCTAGCAAAAAACAAAGGATCATTAGCCTTGCAAGGAATTACCTTAACCATGTCATTGAAAGCAGACACTGGACATAAACAAGAATGATCTTTACTTTGTTAAGGAATTTCTAAAATCCCTTCTCCAGCTTGTATAGTTTTTGACCATCTCTTTTTAACCAACAAATAACTACCTAGACTGAAAATATTCTAAACACAACTTTTGGATTCTGTAAATCTCTTAAATTTGTAGGCTACAAGTTTGATTTTCTAGCCAAGAAATAGAAAGCAAATAAAAATAAACAAAAAACCTTATCCAATTAAGAAAAATTCAATTTTCAAAAATAATCAGCAGCATTTCTGGCGGGAAATTAATTTATCAAGCGACACTACAAAAAATTGAATTGCAATAAAAACTGGAAACAAGTCACTTTAAATAGCCAAGGTGTATGAATATCAATTTTAAACCAATGAAAAGTTGTTGTGGTGATGCTAAGAAACAGAAACTAAAAATAGAAACTAAAAAGTAAACAAACCAATGAAGCGTAATTAGTTATTTTAAAGTTTTCGTTTTCGTTTTATCGTACATTAACGAGAAACAGCGACATAGCAAAACAGATCTTGTGTGTCGTTCTCTATTTTTAATTCTTTATTTTATGTCGCTGTTTTGTGTACCACCCCCCCTCTCTTGATTGCAACTAAATAAAAAAATGAAACAAAAGAAGAGAATGACATCCGCGTGACGTACAGGCGACATCATATTTAAGGCTATTGTACGCTAAATGTTGGGCATTTTGAAAAAATGGCCATTTTTTCAACTTCAGGTTAAAATCAGATCTAGCCCATTTAGAAACAAAACAATGGACAAGAAACACAGTTTTACACCCTTGACAAGTATTAAAGGCATCATATTAACTTTCATGAATTAAATGATATTAGAACCCTGCAGGTTTTTATTTCAAATGCCCTACGAAAGATGCAAATTTGGCGAATTTGCTCAACTTCATGCATATATTCTGATGCATAGAACAAATGTTCTATGCTGAAGATAAGTAACATTTATCAAAACACTTTGTTAGTAAACAAAATCAAAGGCAAGTTTAAAAACATGCATAAACCGTGGTGATATTACGCGCGTGACACCGGACACGTGTGACGCGTAACCGGAAAATGATTATAATGATCAGTCAAGTTTTCAGGAAAATAATACTGGAGAGTGAAAATTACGGAGGCATAAAGGTGACATGTGTTTTGATTTTATTTTTAAACTCGTGCGCCCTGAGATACCCCATGTTGTGGGCCCCGAGTTACTTTAAATCGTGGCCCCCGGGTTACTAAGTTTTGTGGGCCCCGAGTTATAAGTCGTGGCCCCAGATATCAAGTTTGGGGAACAGATGTATTCTGGCCCCGATTTTTAAGGGGGGTTTTGGGACGAATAAATTTAAAAAATTTTGGGGGCCCCGAATACTGTGTTTGTGGAACGAGGGTACTTTTTCGGGGGCCATTTAGTACTTAGTCGTTGGGGCCCGAGAAAATTTAAATCGTGGGAACGAGATACTATGTCGTGGCCACGAGTTACTAAGTCGTGGGAACAAGATACTTTGTCGTGGCCACGAGATGCTATGTCGTGGCAACGAGTTATTAAGTCGTGGGAACGAGATAGTTAAGCCCTGAGAACGAGATACTATGTCGTGGCCACGAGTTACTAAGTGGTGGCCACGAGTTACTATGTCGGGGGAACGAGATAGATAAGTCGTGCGCACGAGATAATTAACCAATCGGATTACACAATGAATTTCTTAAACTTAGAAAAGTTTCTTTTTAAAGTTTTACATGCAACATTAATCTTTGAAAATACTGTAGTATTCACTTTAAACTTGATACATGTCTTAGGATCATATTAGAAAGTCACCTTCTAAGGTCCATAAATCAGACATTAATTTTGACTAAGTTATAACCCTTTGTGGGGACAATTCTATTATAGAATTGGTCAGTTTGTACGTACAGCGGCGACCTGTTTACCTTGTTTAAATGATAACTGAGAAAGAATTAGTCCTGTTTTATTTTATTTGGTAGGAACAATGCCAAAATACAAATGTAGATATAGCCTATAAGGATGTTTGGAGTCAAGGATCGAGGTTAAACATAACACTTCATGTAAAGATTTTGTCTGATGAATGATTTAGAAGGAATAAGTCATTGTTTATATAACCTAGACATATCATTGCTCATGATCAGTAGATGACACCTAATAGTTTTTGGGCCATTGGATCAAACATCCGGATCTTAACTATCTCGTGGCCACACCTTAGTATCTCGTGGCCATGACATAGTATCTCGTGGCAAAGACAAAGTATCTCGTGGTCACGACTTAATTATCTCGTGGCCACGACTTAGTAACTCGTTGTCAAGACAAAGTATCTCGTTCCCAAAAGATAAATTAAAACACTCACATGTCAACTTTGTGCCACCGTAGAAAATAAATGTAGAAAATAGATAGATAGATAGTAATTGCGTATTACATTGGTTTTAAGTCCTTCTTGTTATGGAAGTTTGAATGATAAACTTATGGGATTTTCATGGTCTATTTTGGATGAACTTTCAGAGGTAGCATGCTAGTTATTTTCACATTTTTATATTGACAGTTTTGATTCTTTTTATTGTTATAACAAACACTGCTTATTAAAATGAGCAACATGTAATCGCGACGTCTGTATTAATAAAACACTGACAATCATTACTGTCCTAACGACCACCTGGAATATGCGACTTCATAGACTCAACGAATGTTTAAGAATCCCACAACACTTATAGTTATCTATTGGTATTTATCAACCAGAACCTTATACCCGCGACCAGTGATCGCAAATGTGCGAAAATTACGACCTGTTCACACTTTTAAACGATAATATTCTTGCTGACTATACCGGGGGTACATTTTAATTTTATATCACACTTACATGTATAGCATAAAACGATAATTTGGAGGTCAGGCGACGCCAAACCACCGATTACATGTATGTCTTTAAGTGAAGTGTGTTCATTGGGAAGAGGCAATTTCATAAAATTACGGAATCCTGTTGAGGCCTATTATAAACGCGCCGTAGCGTTTTCATGGTCGACACTCGATAACGCGAAATGATATAGCGATATCATAAGAGACACTCGACAATCTCAAACGACGGTGACAATCTCAAACGACGGTGACAATTTTGTCACTTTGCGTTGTCGCAATGTCACTTCGCGTTGTCGTGTGTCGACCCTGCAAATGCGACGGCGACATTATCAAACGACACGCGACAATCTCAAACGTCGTTTAGGATTGTCGGGTGTCACTTCGTGATATCGCTATGTCATTTCGCGTTGTCGTGTGTCGACGATGAAAACACGACGGCGACATTAAAAATGGCCTGATTTTCTGCTGGTCTTTGTGTGTCAGCTAAACAAGATACTTCCCCTTATTGTTTTTTTTTTGTTTTGTTTTTTAAATTCGAAGTGAATAAGTTTTTTGGGCAGATTTCACATAACAAGCTTCAAGTTGATTACTATTTCAACAAGAAAGCCTTGATACACACGAGCATAATACAGGTCAGACTGAAATCATTTGACAGGCGAATGGGTAGCGAAAACATATGTTCTACTTGACCTGAAATTCGTACTAACTAACTTACTAACTAACTAACTTACTAACTAAAAAGTGTGCCACTGCTATAATGTAACATCAACACAGCAGAAATGAAAGGAAAAATAAAAAGCGGACAAAATTATTTTTTATGAATTTAAAAAACCCTTTTCGACATCAAATTGTCAAGTTTTGTCCCTACAATTATAACCAGTTACAGCTTTGTTTATGCAAAAATAAAAAAAAATAATGAAGCATAACATCAATGTTGAATCAGTTTGTTTTTGCCCGCTCGCCACGGCGAACCGGCATAACATAAGGATTTTACTGAGACAACCTTAAACTCCAAATTTATCTCAATTTTAACCGAAGCTTGGCTTTTAGCTTTTTGCATAATTAACTTCGACTTAAAAAAATATTTTGCCAATCAATTTTGATCTTACATAGCGGCTAAAAACATTCAATTTTGACGCCCTATATCTTGATGTAAAAATAACAAAATGTCAATTTTCATGATTTCTTTTTAATCAATCATATTTACGCTTACGTTCAACTTACTTCATTTCACCTGTCGTCTCTAGTTTTCGTTTGGTTTATTAACATAATTATGTGTTCATCTGTTTGTGCGGATTTTTTTTTTAATTTTGGGGCATTAGATCCTTTTCAGTATTAAGTTAATATTGAGTCAGACTCTCGTATTGATCTCCCCATCGGCTTACATTATGTCGAATGATCCCTTATTCTACTTTATAGTTGAGTTATCATGCTAAAGAGGTGATTTTGTCTATTACTGAAATGGTTGACACATAAATATAGCGGTAGCCAACCATTTTTCTTTGCAAAATGACTTCAAAGAGAATATCCCCTCAAACATTCTACAGTGCTTTTATGCAATAGTTGTAAAAATGTTGTTAACGAAGATATCACTAAAAACAATATATTTGAAGGATAATGCCGCTTCACAGTTGCATTTTATACAAACAAACCATGCATTTGGAAGTTTATATGATGTGCTTTATATGGAACCCTATACTTTGGCCTACCAAAGTGGGTAACTGATTTATATAGTCTTGTATAGGACTTGTCCCTCTTTCCAATACTTATTGACCTGTAACAGTTTAACTTCATATTCGAAGATACCTTGAAGAGTTCTACCAACAACATACATTTTCAGGTCAAAAGGTCAATGTCACTGGGACTTGATATATCAAAAATTCAACGGGCCATGAAGGGAAAGTGTATATACATAGGACTTGATTCTTTGTTAATTAGCCAGGTTGTTGTAAAACTGAGAGAGAGAGCTTTCAAGTTGACATTTAAACACACCTAATGAAATAGAAATGACAAAGCGAGCCGTTAATAGGTTTTAAAAAAGCTAACCATGTTCTTTTTAAAATATTACCATCTCATACAGACACCTGGTGCATAGGTATTTTTATATATATAAGATATAAACTTCAACTGTCATAATACACTATGTATCAGTCTGCACTTTGTAGCCTATTGTATGTACTTTTAAAAAACTAATTAGTGTACTCAGAATCCATTTTATTTATATTGTGAAGGAAGCTATAAGCTTATAGAATCAGTGTCTGAAAGCAACAAGGGCTAAGCATAAGCATAAGTATAAAGTTTTTTAAGGAAACAACGGTTTGCCCCCGATGTGGTTTAAAAACATACAACCATAGATTACTAGACCGACTTATGAACCACGGCCATGTCGCCACGCAATAAATGATTTTAAATTAACTTTTTCCTTGTATTCCAGAATATGTGCAGCGTTTTACAATTGGTAACATTCTCAGTTGTGCTTCTTGATATGTACACAGGTAAGATAATTTCTAAACCAAAATGTTCCATTCTGTTTTGTTTGTTTGTTTGTTTGTTTGTTTGATTTTACGCCTTTTTCAACAGTATTTCAGTCATATAGGCGGGTAGTTTCCTAACCATCGTTCCTGGAGAGTTACACCAGTACTAGACAACCTTCCTCCGCGCTAAACTACCAAAGCATCTCCCGGGGATCGAACCCACGCCAGAGAGGTAACTGGATTAGAAGTCATCGACTCTAACCCCTCGACCACGGAGGCGGTTTCCAATCTGTTATGATTAGGTAAAGCGATACTTTAAAAAAAAATCTATAATAATATAATTATAAAAATAATTTTTGCTTAGCAATGCACGTGCTTTCTTTGCTAGAAACATAACTGGATGCTAAGAAATAGTTCAGAGATAATGACTTCAAAGAAATTAAGACAGAAAATAAACAGTGTTAACACTGCTAACTATATACATGTAAAACTAGAAGTTCTGTACACTTATTTGAGCAAATTATATTCGGAATAAGGAATATGATGACTCACTTTATTTTGATATTTTATAATTTCTATTAGGATTTTGTTTACAAGAGACTAATAGCGGTAGTATAAAATGGCAAACGATGTAATTCTATCCATTTTATCGCTGTTGTTACAAATTGACAAAATTTAATCATTATCTGCGAACATTGACTGCTGATCAACAAATGTATTCTGACATTGATCTGACGTTGTCTTTGATAAAGACCGGTGGGATTGTATTGCATTATAAAAGTAGGTTTTTAAATCTAAAATAGCATTTGAAAAATAGTGTCTGCAACAATTACTTTTAAAACTGTCTAATATGCAGAAGATATGAAATCCACACATCATGAACTATTGAGTGATTCTAAATATTTTACGTAACTTACTGCTTTTTTCATCACAGAATATTCTGTTTCAAGAAAACTTCAATCTGCTATAATATTTGAAGATTTCAAAAACATACACCAAGGAAAACCACATTTCATCATACAACTGCTGAACATGCGTTTATTAAGATTCATCCACCACCTAAAATGATTGTCTATATAAAAGATTGCAGCCGCTATATGGTGTCATAAAAATATGTGTAACATTGAGTACAATTAATAAAAAAAGTTCACGTTAATTTCAAGTACCAGATATCAGAAACGTGATTGCACTGGATGATTTGTCAACAGTAACAAATGCAGACCTTAGGATAACTGACTTATATACAGAAAGAGGGATCAATATTGCAATACTTCTATGATTGCAATGAACTAGAACCGCTTTTTTAGTAAACATCGAACACAGCTTAAACACACAGAACCTAATATTTGTTCAACAAACTCAGTGCATAGACAAGTTATGTATTGTCAATACTATTGATTTTGGGGCACAAGGTCAAAGGTCAAGGTCACTACTTTACCTTAAAACTGAAATCGGTTTTCGTTCAATAACTTAAGTATTAATCAACATACAGCTGTAAATTTTTTAAGGATAAACAGCCATGTCCAATACATGACCCCTATCGATTTTAGGGTCATAAGATCAAAGGCCAGGGTCACAATGAACTTAACACTGAAATTTGTGCTTTTTGGATCATAACATAAGTTCCATTTGGCGTACAGTGTTCAAACTTCATAGAATGATTGCCTAAATTGCGTAAAGGTCCATATCAATATTGGGATCACAAGATTAAAGGTCAATATCAAATAACCTTAATATTGTTAACAGTTTTACAACTGTCAAACCTCATAGGATATTGAGTACATTAAATATATGCCCTAACAAATTTGCTTATATTATTTAATACCCCTAGCGTCTTTGACGCTAGCGAGGCAGATGTAATTGAACGGTAGCATCATGCAAGTCTGATGGTTTGTTTGTTTGGATGTTTACGGCACGTCAACACATAACTGGCAATATCGTGCCGAAATTCTTATGGTACATTGTTTTTGTTCATTTAAAACAAAATACACAATTGCATTGGCGCATGCCCTAGAATATTATCGATAGATGGTCATTTCACAAGTAATCAGCACTTATCTCCTCCCCTCGGTGCGTACACATCACATTAAAGGCATAGAGCATCACAAAAAGAGTTTTTATTATTGCCTGATTTATATGGGATACCAAGGAAGGTTTGTTATATACATATAGGGTCCTGAAGACCATGTAACAATTTCGTCGCTTCGAAGTAAAACTTCTTTCGGCATTAGTCTAAGGTCTCAGTTGCCGATGTGTTGACTAATGCCAAGGATTGGTGTCATGCAAAGTAGGCAGGGAGGACGTAAAAAGTGTGCTACGGTGCGTGACACAAGCACAATTTGATCTAGATATTCCTTACGATATATTTGTATACCAAATTTCATTTCAGTATGTGTAACCTTTGCTAAGAAATGACCGAAAACTGCAAATAATTGGCATTTTTTCTAAGTCCAGGGGGCATAACTCTGTCAAAATTGCTCGATCGTACCAAAGACATAAATTTGACCTAGATGTTCTTATGATAAACATGTATACCAAATCTCTTTTCTATATCAGTAAGTCCTACCTCTGTAAAGAAATAAACAAATACTGCAAAAAAATCAGATTTTTTTTCTAAGTTTAATGGGCATAACTTAAAAATTGCTTGTTCGTACCCAAAACAGAAATTGGCCAAGATATTCCTTATGATAAATATGTATACCAAGTTTCATGACAGAAGGTGCAATCTCCGCAAAGAAAATAAACGGAAATTAATTGCAAATAATTGAATTTCTGTCTTAATTGAATTGAAGCGCAGGGGGTATCTACTTATGTAATTCTGCCAAAAACTGCAAGTTTATGGAAGTTTGTATGTCTAAGGGGCATCACTCTGTCAAAAATTACTCGATGGTACCAACAATAGAAATGTTTGCTGGGTCGTAAGGGGGTGGCGTTCATTGAACGCCGTCTTTCCTTGTTGATCTTGTTTATCATATTTGACCTAGATATTCTTATGGGAAATCTGCATACCAACTTTCATATCAGTATGTGCTGTCTTTGCAAAGAAAATGAAGGGAATTAAATTCATAGAAAAAAGGCATAGCGTATGCTTCCCTTCATAAAATGGCCACCAGAGCAAACAAAAAAATATTTTCCAGTTTTCACAGGTCTAACTGCTGGCGGAATTTCAGTGAAACTTCACTGGAGTTATCAGTACCATCCATAGTTATGAATATTACCGGCACTTGCTGCTTCGCAGCTAAAAATGGCCACCAGAACTAAAAACAGAAAAAGCTTGTCTGACTTTCACAGGTCATACTCCTAACAAGATTTCATTGAGACCTCACAGGAGTGATCAGTACCATCCAAATTTGTGCATTTCCCCAGCAGATTCCGCTTTCTTAACAAAATAACCTCCAGGGCTATAAGAAGAAATATATTGTCCAGCTTTCACAAGTCAAACTGATAGCAGGATTTTGACATTACTTCATATCTTGTTGCATATCGCCGGCATGTTTTGCTTCGCTGCACAAAATGGCTACCAGAGCTAAAAACTATAAAATGTTTTTCCGGCTTTCACGTCAAGTCAAACTGCTGATGGGACTTCAACGAAACTTCTTAGGAGTGATCAGTACCATAGTTTTTGTGCATATCAACGCCATCTTCTGATTTGCTGTTCAAAATGGCCCCAAGAGATTTAATTAGAAAAAAAAATTGTCCAGCATTCACAGGTCAAACTGCTGACGGGATTTAAGTGAAAATTCACTGGAGTGATCAGTACTATTTTTTTGTGCAGATTGACTTAATGTTCCGCGTCAAGTATGATAAACAAGGTTAACAAGGAAAGGCGGCGTTCAATGAACGCAACCATCACAAGACCCAGCGATAAGAATTAGTGGCAAGGAGCCCAGGAGGACCCCAAACAAAAACAAGGCAGGGCGTAAGACAGAGCACGGATATGGTAATCACTTCATGATACTTAAAAAGAAATAGTAGTAACCGACAATGAAATTAAAGAACAATTGCTTGATTGATAAATATGCCCACAAAGAAAAGGGAAGGGGATACGAAATTTGGGGAAGGGAGGAACACAATTAAAAAGAAGGGGGTCAAAAGGGAAGATACTTACTGTTGACGAGAAAACAACATTGGACACATACAGAAATGTCACCAAAACAGTATGAAACGACAAAGACATACATCTGAGGAAAACAGAGGGACGCCGCCTTGGAACGTTCAGCATTATTAGTACTGCTTTGGAGTTTGGTGGACGGTAACTTGCACTTTCCAGTACCGTCCATGAACAGGCTCAATCAAACCGAGCCTGCAACATTTTCAATTTTGTTGTGTTGAACTTTCTTTAGGGATTCTATTTTTCTCTATTTTTAACCGGTTAATGGTGCACCACATCCTACTCTTAGCCCTTTAAACGAGACATTGTAAATAAAAACAAATCACGCCAAGCGAAGTTCTAACAGTTGTTGTGTCACTGGTTCAACTGTTGGCGGGATTTCAATGAAGCTTCACAGGAGTGATCAGTACCATAATTAGTTTTGCATATCGCGCGCACGCTCCTCCTCGCTCGCTGCAAAAAAATTGCTGCCAGAGCTAAACAGAAAAATCTTGTCAGATTTCACAGGTCAGACTGCCGGCGAGATTTCATTTAAACTTCACAGATCTCATCAGTACTATCCCTAGTTGTGCATATCGCCGGCATTTTCCGCTTTTATGACGAAATGGCCTCAGAAGCTTTAAAAAGAAAAGAAATATTGTCCAGCTTTCCCAGGCCAAACTTCTGGCGGGATTTCAACAAATCTTCACAGGAGTGATCAGTACCATATCTTATTATGCATATCGCCAGCATGTTTTTGTTCGCTGCAAAAAATATGGCTACCAGAGCTTAAAATAGAAAAAGCTTGCCATGCATTCACAAGGTAAACTGCTGGCGGGATTTCGGAATAATCAGTACTATACCTTATTGTGCATATTGCCGCCAAGATCTGCTTTGCTTGACTTAATAACCGCCATAGCTTTAAATAGAAAAAAATCTTCAGCTTTCAAACTTCTGGCAGGATTTCAGTGAAATTTTACAGGAAAAATCAGTACCATCCCTAGTTGTGTATATCGCCGATATGTTCCGCGTCAAAGCTTAAATGGCTGACAAAGCTACAGATAGTAAAGTTTTGTCCAACTTCCACTGGTTAAACTGCAGGCGGGATTTCGATGAAACTTCACAGGAGTGATCAGTTGCATGCCTTATTGTGCATATCGCGAACATGTTCTGCTTTTTT